CAAGCATTCTTGTAACAAAGCATTTTATACCCTTGTAACGTTGCTTTCCTTGTACACAGCCAATGAACTTCCATTAGGGGATATCCAAATGTGATACGACTTGACGAACTGATCAGCAGTTTGGCTTCCCTGTGTAGCAACAGCGCAGATCACGTGATCTGTACCCAAATCAATTTGGAGAAAAGGACTAGAGTCATGTGACGTAGGGCACCAAGAAGAGGCTGACTTTAATCTAGCGTTGCTGGTTGATTGTTGTGACGATGAGGACGAAATACTGTCGTCAGGAATGTCTCCTGACTGCATTCCAAGTGGATTTGTAATGCACACTGATAGGAAAGAAAATATGAAGAAGATTATGATGAATAATTAATGAATAAATGGGAAAAAGGATGAATGGATGACGAATATACATAAATTAATAAATTTGACACGAGTAAGTAAACTACTGATCGAGTAAATAGATGTATGGATGCAAAGAAACTAATACTACATTTTTCAATTAATATAAAAAATAGGTAACACCTAATAGCGGAGCTCGCGATCCAATAGCAATATAGAAGCTGAAAATGATTATCTAGTACTGCTATTTCAAAGGTAGATGCTCTGTTCTAAGGAATGTGAGCTACAACAGTTTTGTTGACATACGAACAAATATTATAAAGAGTATGTTTATGAGAATTTAGTTCGTACTAATATTGACTTCGGTAGATTTTATTCCGTTGGATGAAGTTTAAAATTATAATCTATAAAGGTCAATTGATTAAAAGTAGTCTACATAAGCTTACAATAATCAACATTGTTTCAATAATCAATGTTTGAACCCGGACTACTCGAACTTCACATATCACAGAAAACTGTATACAAAAATATATTTTTTACCTTCATTATCGAACTTCCGATAAATTATCGTTCAAAGGTCATCTTCAACAGAGCCATACTTGTTTCAAGCATAGGTTTCATCAATTTATTAAGTCATTCAAGACTGTAGATTCTTTGTTTTTAATCTCTCTCAATCTAACTGCTAGCATGGTGCTTAGTCTCGAAATGTCCACACTTTTAGTCGACAAAAGAACTTTGCATAGATCCCCGCTTTTTATTATTTAAGTATTTCCGGCCAATAAAGTATCATCTCTTTCTTGTTGTCGAAATATAAAAGTAAAATCCTTTTTTCTAATATCACTTTTAAGTTGGGCCTAAATTGCTTTTCATCTTCACAAATCGATTTCCCGGATGTGCGGACGCGTCGAAGTTATGACAAAATTGTCGGGAATATTTCTGTGCTGTTATTTCGCTCTTCAGTGAATTTTTTCCTTGTGATTAATTGTTCTAATATTATCAATATGTAATATAAATGTTTAAGGAAAAAAATTCGATTTTTCAACAAATACTTGGCGCTTTGTTTCCTTTTCGAGCGGAGTATGGGTTTCCTGTGGTGGTACACGGAATCCAGGAAGGACGGAAGGACGGACGGAAGGAAACGTGCGTACGCGCGGAATTCCTGTGTCGGTCCATGGAAAATCGACTCGATGGTATACCATTTTTTCTTAGCTATGGTGCTCCGCTCGCGCTCCGCTATTAAAAGCGAATATTCGGTGTTTTATTTGATAGGAGATTCTCAAAGGCAAAGAACTCACCAAACACAAAAGAAAGCGCTAGAAAATGTCGTTATTACAATGCCTTAACAATTTACATTTTCCAAGTTGAGACTATAGCCCTGTATTCCCAAGTCTTAAACCTAAGATATTATGGGAATACAGGGTTAGTCTCAACTCGGTTAAATGCACATTTTCAAGGCTATTTTAATAACGATATTTTTTCGTGCTCTCTTTTGTGTTTAGTGAAGTCTTTGAGAAAGAGGATC